CGGCTGCTGAGTACAGAGCCGCTTCTGATGCGGGCGGGCTGGCCAGCCGGGTGCATGTGGCAGAGAGACGGTGGAGGGAGGGAGCCACCGCAGCTGCGGCCACAGCACCCCCCCTCCCACAACCAGGGTCCAGGGAGCCCAACTCACCACCAGGGAGCCCCCACTGACCACCAGGGTAGGTAAGGTGACAACATTTTTTAAATAAAATCCGGGGACATTTTTAAATGTTCCCGGGAACATAAAATAAACATTTTTTTTAATACTCACCTGATCCCTGGATGCACCGCCAAGTACAGCCTCCCGTCTCCCACGCTGTCAGAAGCGTGTGCTGGTTACTACCTAAACCGGAGTGCGCTGTGTGCAGCTTCTGAGAAGATGTACCACTATGTACCACTGTCTCCAGTGTCTCTGTATTGCTTCCCTCTTTGGGAGTATCTTGTGCTGTGCGTTTTACATCTTTCGGTGTATATCTCTTTCCTGTCACAGTACCCTGTACTGCAGCCTGTCTACATGCTTCTCTCTGCCTGTCCTTGTGTCCAGTGCCCCGCTGCTGCAACTAGTCCTCTGAGTCTGTGTGGATGCGCTAGAGGGCCGCAAACCTGGCAGGTGTCCGGCAGCCAATCATCCTCACCATTAGAGGCTCTGTGGAAGACCCAGCCCTTAGACTCTGCACCTCTAGTGAGTCCCCAAAAATACACACAGACTCTTAGTCCCTTGGTTTCCCGTAACATACATCCCAGTTCTCACTTCAGTCTGTGATTCCAGCCTGCTCTGCAAAACCCGGAGTTTTCGTGCTCTGTGCCCTGGTCCCCAGATCATGACAGTCAGCCAGAGAAAAGGTCAAACACGGAGAACTGGAACAACAGCAGAGCACTTGGTAGATGTGAATGCATGCAAGCGTGAAGATTAAATGGACCAGCTGATAGATAGTGAACTGGTGTTGCATCTTAACTTTTTTTAATTGCTGCAGAATGATGATGTTTACAGGTTTGGTCAAAAGAGGGGGCCAAAGAGGAACAAACAGTGTCAGACATTTTGCAAACAAGGCATGCTGCAGCCAACTGGAGGAGGAAGGGTAGGAAACCCTAACAGGACCTCTTCGGAGGTGAGCGGGCGGGGGGGTGCATATAGGGCTGAGCAGGAGGTACAGCTAGAAACAGACAACAGACTAACAACTACTAAAAAGACAACCACATGATAGAAAGGAGCTTTGTCCCCAAATGGACTAAATTAATAAAAAAGATTTTACAGTGGGTAAAAAATAAACAAATACTTTTTCCCCCACGAGAAACAGGTACAATATTCTACATATGGATAATCGAAAAGCAGTCCCAAAAAAGAGGGTTGGTAGAATAATGTGCTAACTAAACCTCAAAGATCAGTGTGAGTGGATCACATTGCCACGTGCAGGACCTTACATCAACATTTCCAAAGTTTCACCAGGCAGGTGTGTGAATGCACACCTGCCTTCAGAGGGTCACCTCAGTGACCTAGAGGTGACCTCAGTGACCTGGAGACCATTGTGCACTGGTAAAAACTGATTAAAGTTGCTCTGCATAGGGCTGAAGCCAATTTGCTCAAATCCGAGAAAACTGAAAATAGACTGAGATGTAATATTAGACGTGTAGGTCTACCAGAACACACTGAGGTCGAAATCATTAAATGTCCAGCACTTCACTGTTACCTAGTTAGCTCTGCACATCCTTGCAAGCTCTGTATTAATCCAAAGGCCATATATACATTCAAAAAAATAAAATGATAGCTAAGTGCAGTGGATAATGCAGATAAAACTACTATTAATGAAAGAAGAAAATTAAAATAAAATTTCCAATTAAGTGACTTGATCAGGGCATATCACCAGGATAATTTCTCCGAAGGAACGCCTGGTCCCGCCAACAGATGCTAAAACTCTCTCCTTGAGAAGTCAGCAATAGGAGAGAGAACAAGCCAGGATGGATTCACTAACGTGAACACTGGGACAACTTAAAAAATAAATACTAATATCCCACTTACTACATATTTCTCACCAGAGGAAACTCCCAACTATGCTACTAGTACTTGACATAAGTAAGGCCTTTGACTCGGTCGGGTGGCACTATTTGCGCCATACCTTAACTAAATGGGGGTTTGGGCCCTCATTCATGCGATTAATTGACTTGTTATATTCGGAGCCCACGGCATACATCCAATACCAGCGCTTCCACTCCCACAGGATTGATATAACTAGAGGGACAAGACAGGGCTGCCCACTCTCCCCCTTCTATTAGCACTTGCCATAGAGCCCCTTGCTCAAGCCATACGACAGCATGCGGATATTAAGGGTATACAAGTGGCAGACTACCACCACAAACTTAGTCTGTTCGCAGACTGGTTTTGGGAGGCTGGCAATGAAGTGGGATAGCTGGCGGTGTTTCCAAGAATACAGGGGTATCGTGCCCCATCGGGATCGTAAATCAGGCAAAGAAAGTAAAGTAGTACCCTTTAGAACAGTGGTTCTCAACTCATGGGTCGCGACCAAAAGTGGGTCGCGACACCTTCTGCAGTGGTTGTGTGTACTTAAAGGACGATTGTGCCATACAGGTTAGGTATCACTGCGAATGTGAAACTATTTTTGGGTCGCGACTTAATGACCAAGGACAAATGTGGGTCCTGAGGTTACACAGGTTGAGAACCACTGCTTTAGAACATCCCGCAATTTCAGAGTAGTGGAATCCGTCCATTTCGCAAAGGATCCGTCCGTCTTCCCCGGGGGGAAGAAGTCAGAGCCCTGCAGAGGCATGAGGATGGAGTTGTGGGGCCAATGGAACCTGCGGTGTAGGCGGTCCCAAGTATGAAGTGTGAAAGTAGTCAGAGGTAAGACGGTAGGGGCTAGGGGCCTCCACTTGGGGGGTAGCCAGATTACCTCGATCAGGGGAGCACCACTCGTCGCAGCCTCCAAGGGCACCCAGCTTTTTCCCAATTCCCCAAACACCCAATGTCAGGGTTGCGTCTGATAGTGGCCAATAGGGGTTCTAGCGAGATGGCAAATAAAAGGGGGGATGGGGGCATCCCTGTCGTGTGCCATTATACAATGTAAAAGAGGGGGATAGGGACCAGTTAATGCGAATTTTAGCCGTAGGGTTGGCATAAAGCGCCGCGATCCACTCCATCATCCTGGGGCCCAGACCAAGGTGGGACAGGGTGGCCAGGAGAAAATCCCAAGCCACCCTGTCAAACGCTTTCTCTGTGTCGGTGGAGAGGAGTAGCGCGGGGGACTTTTGCTGTCTAGCATTGTGTATTAGGGAGAGTGATTTGAGAGTGGTGTCCCGAGCTTTCCTACCCGGGACAAAGCCTACCTGGTCTGGGTGGGGGACAAAGCCTACCTGGTCTGGGTGGATCCAGGACGGAAGGAGTGGATACAGCCTGTTTGCCAGGATCTTAGCGTACAGTTTGGTATCTACGTTGAGTAGTGAGATGGGGCGGTAGCTGGCGCAGTTCGAGGGATCTTTCTCTATGACTATGACTGTGATGTGGGCCAAAAGCAACTCCGAGCGCATGGGGGTAGTTGTGGAAATTGCATTAGCATAGGAGCAGAAGTGGGGAGCAAGGATGTCCTGAAAACATTTATAATAAAGCAGGGTAAATCCGTCAGGGCCTGGGCTTTTTCCCAATGGGGTAGTGCTAATTAACCCTAAATTCGGCTACGGTGATGTCAGCCTCAATGGCAGTTAGGGCCGATGCAGGTACCTGGGGGAGGGAGGCTTGCTGCAGGTATGAGTTAATTTTATCCAGTTTGGACATTTTGGCTGCGGGGTCCATTGGGGCACTTATCCGGTATAGATCCTGATAGTAATTGCGAAAAACGTCCGCAATGGCCGATGGCAATCGTGCCTGTTTTGGCTTTAATCTTGGAGATAAAGGTGGCGGACTGTTTGGATCGCAGTGCCCGTGCTAAAAATCTACAGGGTTTACCCCCTAGTTCATAATATTTACGGGAGACTGCATGGAAGGCTCGTGTGGTGTTCAGCTCCAGTAGAAGCCGCAGTTCCTCACACTTAGCCAAGAGTTCCCTGAGGACCCTAGGATCAGGGGAGTTTTTGTGGGACGCTTCTAGGCGCTGGATCTCAAACAGCAACGCCGCCATCCATTCCCGCGTGCGCTGGGCCCCCACCGCCATCAGCTGGCCGCGCACCACCGCTTTATGGGCTTCCCATGTGCACGCCGCGGAGACCTCGGGGGAGGTATTCGTGATGAAATAGGAAGTGACGGTCCGCGAGAGATCTGCAGCAATCTGCTGGTCGTGCAGTAACGAGTCATTGAGTTTCCAATTACACGTCCTGTCACCCAGCGAGTCCAGAGAAAGGGAGATCGTCACCGGGGCATGGTCCGAGATCGTGACCGGTAAGATCTA